TTTCCTTTTCTTTTTTTCTTCTTTTTCTCTTCGATGAGCATCCCGTAAGGGCTGGACTTGCCTTGCATGACAGTACACTTCATTGCACAAAATTAACGGTACACAATTTTGGAACAAGTTACAAGTCTGGCTGCCTGAATGATTTTGCGCTCAACTGCAAGGTCGCCACGCAGTTGCCTGCGCAGCGTCTCAGCAGTTGTGCGAACCGCTTTTTTTTGATCGAAAACTTCTCTAGTACGTTGCAGACTTGGTATTGCATAGATTTTCACGGTTTTGCTTTCTCATTCGATGACCGCTCTTTCCTTTTAGTTGGCATCTTTTCCGTTGTTTATCAGACCAAACTTGTCGTAATGAACGTGTCAGTGACATACTTTCCTTTCTTTCTCTTCAAATTTTTTTTCTGTTTACTGTGATTGTATGACTTTTAAGCTTCCTTCCAAATCTGGTTATATATTTTTGCTCTCTTACCAAGGAATCGGAAGCGATATTTGTGAGAATTTTGAAAGACGACTTAACTTTGACTGTTTTGATTACCAATAGGATGGTTCGCGCTTCTCTGAAAATGTACCTTATCTGCTGTTTCTTAGCCCCTTCTATAATTTCACAGTCATTGAAAGTTTGACTCTTGCATCATTCGCATTCATCCAGCTTTCTCCTTGTGCATGTTTTCGTGTGAACTCCTTCCTTATTCCTTGAGAGAGATCTGGGAGGAGCTAGCCTTGCGTCATTTTGATAATTCTACATAATATTTGCACATTTTATGGTAAAGTTTTAGTATGTCTTCTCGACATCGCATTGACTTGGATGATGACAAGAAAAAGGACCGCAACAGGGATAGGGACAGAGATAGGGATAGAGACAGAGACAGGAAGTCAAGACGGTTAGTTTTCGTTACTTTTATCTAATTTTATAACAGAGGACTAGTGGCGCCACTCACAGCACAAATTTTTATAGTTTATATCGTTGTAATCAGTCGGGGCGGTGCCAGGAGGCATGAAATGAGCGCCTGCAGGTTTTCTTCACTGGTTGTTTCCTTCCCCTATCGGTCGCTAAAAGGACACTGTTGGTGACGGCAACCGGAGGCAGGCTCATTCCACCCCTTCTGACTCGGCCTCCACTGATTGTGACGATATCAAATGTGCCTGTTGCATAACTGTCATGTTAATTTCCCAGTTATCTGGTGGGAGAAGGGTGGTGGGTAAGGACATGCGCGTATTTTGCGATCGCGTAGATTCCACTGCTCATGGTCAGCAGACTCGGCGATCAAAAATCGATCGACTCTGCCTTTTCAGCCTGTCGCGAGTTTTGGATTCTTCGGTCACAGAGTATGAACGAGTCCTTAGACTACAATAGTCAAAGAATGGTAGCGAAAAAAATAGTTTAGACGTAACAGTTTTGTTCTAGCATACAATCCTAGGCATGGCATTCGAACAGGGCACGGAAGAGGTTACTCGCGGGACATTTCCGTTTGAGACAACTGTCATCTTGTTCTATGTCGGACCGACCACAATCGTGAAAATATTTCTCTAAAGGCAGAGCCTCATCACGTTTAGTAGAAGTACGCAGCCACGCTTGTGAAGGGTTCCGAATACAGCTGGGAGCGCGCACTCGCCATCGCCAAGTGTGGGTACTTGGGCTCAATAGGGGCTATAACTTCTGTGCAAGATTATCCCTTCGACAACTGTAGTCGTCTGCGCTGTACAGTCAGGGCAAAAAAAAAACTTGGAACAAGCCCAAGTCTTTGTAATAGTGTTACATACAGTTCTTAAATTGCACATGAAAACTTTGTTAGCTGAAACCAAGTACGCCTGAAAAGGTTATTCTAAAAAGTAAAGTTGGTTGATTAAATTCGTTACCGGGACAGAATTCTAAATATTATCGCGATGCCGCTGCCATTTTGATTTTGGACCTGGTTTTCAGAGTTTCTAATGCTTTGAGAACAACAGAAAATAATCTAATGAAAAAAATTTATTTTTTTGGAATGGCATTTCAAGGCGTACTTTGTCAGAGCAAACAGAGTGTTCATGTTTGCCGCTACTGTAAGCCCGCACCTCTTTTGAGAACGGATGCCGAGTGTCACCCTCCCCCACCCCTACTCGGCCCCAACTGCGTTCGGAGGTTCTGTCCGACTTGATGGATTAAACAGTCCTTTGCGAATTGAGTGGGTCACGCTGAATCACGTCTAGTTCTGTTCTGCGAGAAACTGATCGTGTGAGCTCTGCTGAATCTAACTTTTTGCTAGGAGCGATATGGATAGGGAAGCTCAGCTACTTGCACATGACTATCTTTTACTTATACTGTTCATGCTTCCGATTAATAATAATAGAATGAGCAACGGAATCCTTTTTCAATGTTTTCAGTGATTTTCTTGGTGATATATGATTCACTAACGTACGTTTAAGGTCTCGTTCGCGTTCTCGCTCACGGTCTCCCATAAAACGAGAGACGACATCACCTCCAACCATAACACAAAACAATAATTCGGCAGCTTCTGAGCCCAAGGTAGAGTACTGTTGTTCGAAGAACTTTCCTGTTTTACGTGTAAACTTGATGTTTAGTACTTAAAGGCAGTGGGCATAACTGCGGGGGCGGACGGTTTATGCGAGCGTCTTTAGTGGGAGGGCTGTGAGCTGGCGTTTG